GCGAGTTTTGGGTGGGGGGTGTTACGAATTGGTTTTATTTTTTTAGCGACTTTCTTTTGGTCAAATAGGTGTTGGGTGAACGAGATGGAAGCACACCGAGAGGGTTTGATGCAGATGATCCGTCGGTCTTTCCTTTTAGGGCTCCAGCTCCGACCCCAGATCTGCTATCCTTTACCATCAAAGGGGGGACGGCAGTCGCGCGACTGGCCCCTGATTTGGGGTATTTACTGATGACGTAGGCGCGGGCTCATGCAGTAGTGCTCAAGCTCCTAGAAGTAGTGGCGCCCTGGTCACGACGTATGAAGAAGGCATGGATGACGGCGCGCGAAGACCTGTGGTTAATGGGTAGGGGTCCGTGGAAGGGGATGATTGACATAAAGGGCTCGCGGACGATCATCTATATGGCGCCGTCCACGGAGCTGAGGGACTGGCTCATACATGAACGGAAGGTGGAGTCTATATTGGTGGGATATGTTGGTCATGAAGTACAACTGGTCCCATGGCGAACGCCTGCGGAAATGGAGTTTCAGCAGGAGGAGGAGAAACGACAGCGGCCATGGGTCAAAGTGTTCACCCCCCCCTCCTTTTTGGTCCCTCTCGAAGAACAGATGGTGCAACAACCTTTTGGCGAGATTGTTTCTATAGCCCTCTTCTGTGAAGAAGAAAGGGAATATCGGAGGTATGTGGTTAGGGGCCCACTGAAGATGCGCCAGGTTGAGAGGGTAGCTGTGGCTTTTGGGCCTACGACTACGCAGGAGTTTCGCTTTATTACGAGCGAAACTCCATTTTGCGACGTCTATTTTATGCATGGGCATTTGGGACGGGAAGGCCGATGGCTTTCCAAGGCGGAATCAGCCAGAGAGCTGCATAAGAAGGAGATACGCCGACGAATGGACCCCATTTTAGCGTCGAATGTGGAAGAGGAAAGGCGAGCCTGGAGGGAGATCGAGCAGCGATACGATGCGGTGGTGCTGAAGGAGTTGCAGGCGGCACACTGGCGCGTGGGGGGTCCCGAAGTAGCAGAGGGCTATCGCAGGCGACAGGACTCGAAACCCCGTGGTCGACATACCCAGCCGCCCAGGGGGACAGGCGGAGGTAGGCACACGGACCCCCAAGTGGAGGTGCATGACCGCATGGAGATTGACCCCCCTGTGTGGCTCTTTGGTGATATGCACCRGAAACGTAAGGAGTGTCAGGAGGACATTACCAAGGGGGCCGGGGTTGRGGTGGGGATTGAGAAGCGGCAGTGTGGTCCTAGCATGCAGCCGGATTCGGCAACCTCGAGGACTGCGGCCACGGATGCG